TCATGAGCACAGGCCCAACACTACTCCTAATAAACAAGTGCAAGTGAAACTTGAGGTCATTTTTACCTGTGAGATGGACACAGATGAAAGTATTGATAACAGTATAGATGGCCTTGGGGATAAATGGCAGACTCATCAATCATCAATAGGAGTGTTCAGTGGACCAGTCCTTGCAGAGGGTCATTTTGTCAACGGCTCTTCCAGTTTTTATATACTCATGCCCTTTCTCTTGGGAGGTCCATCACTAGGCATGTACCATACAAACATACTCACAAATGTATGGCCAAGAAATGTACAAGGGTGTTTCCTGCAGAGCTGTTTGCAACAGCGACAAACTAGGAACCAATGGAATGTTTCTCAGTAGGGATCGGGCTGAACACACTTCAGCAGAGCCATGCAATGGATCGTGGCATCATCTAAAAGAACATGGTTGGGCCAGTGAGATAGCTCAGCAGTCTAAAGCACCTGCTTAGGCAATCTTAGGCAAAGCGCAGGGACTGAGGTTCGATCCCCGGCACCACACTGTCACGCCAGCCCTGCCCCCAGGGCGGGCTGAGTGCCCACCACTCCGAAAAAAGAATGTGGTTAATCTTGCATGTAGGGCCAGGGAGATGGCTCAGTGGAATAAGCGCTTCCCTGGCAAGGGCCAAGGGTCTGAGTTCAATCCCTGGTTCCACCAAAAAAAAAAAAAAAAAAATCTTGCATGTAAAATGGAGAAAACCCTCCCAGATACAGCATCAAATGAAAAAGCATGGTACATATAAAGTGCTTTTTCTTTTTTTCTGCAAATACACACAAAATGTTAACATGGCTGTTTCTAACAATGTACATATTCTCTATAAAAATATATATTACCTGGCAAGTTGTGGATCATTTTCCCTGTCTTTGAATTCTTTGGTAACACAGACCTTCATGTCTGTATAAGCTGAAAGACTCCATGAGAGACTAGATCTTCCAAAACGGCCAGAGCAATACTGCTGGATCTGATCTTTCCAGACCTTTGCTCCTCCCAGCTGAAGATGGGCCTTACTCCTCTCCTCTTGCACTTTGCAACTTTTCTGTGGTGCCAGGGATTGAACTCAGAACCTTGCGCTTGCCAGACAGGTACTTAGCCACTGAGCTATTATATTTCCAGCCCCTCTCCTGAGCTTGACGGGACTCTGTGACAACTTCAGCAATCAGGATGCCGAGACGCGACACTGTGTGCCACATGGCCTCCGCCTGGCTGCGAGCTCTCGTGGTGTCCTCCTGGAAGCCCACCGTGATGTGACCCACCAGCCTGCAGCTCAGTGGCTCCGACCGCACTCACAGAGCCGTGTCAACGTCACCACTGTCTGATTCTGGAACATTTCCGTCACCAAAGAGAAGCCCTCTGGAGCCAAGTCACCTCGTTCCATATGCCTGGAAGCCACACACCTACCCTTACCTCGAAGGACTTGCCATTTCTGGGACGTTTCCTCTGACCGTAATTGCCTGGCATGCGGCTAGCTGTGCCTGGCTTCTGGCTCCCAAAGTCCTCTGCGCCCAGAATGAGCACACACCCAGCTCACGCTTGGAACCAGAACTTCACGCCTCCCTGTGGCTCAGAACTGTTCCACTCTGTGGTTTGTCTGTTTGTTTTTGCGGAACCAGGGTTTGAACTCAGGCCCTTGTGCTTGCCAGGGAAGCACTTACTCCACTGAGCCATCTCCCGGCCCCTCTGTGCTGTTTTTGTTGCTGGATATTTGGGTTGTTTCCACTTTTGGCTTATTAGGAATAAGGAAGGCTGCTATGAGCACGTGGACAAGTGGTCTTGTGCGGTCTTGTTTTTATCTCGAGTTAAGAATTCTTAGATGCTAATACATAAATGATATTAAATAATGACACATAATTAAAATAAGTTTTATTCATGAAATAGGTACCTTACAGCAGAAACTACCTCAAAATGGTGCAGATTTAATGAGGACCAACCACTGGGCAAACTTCGAATGCAACACTTCAAACTCAGGTCTTTCCTTCACAAGCCTCTCACTAAATCAGTCTGATTAAAGATACATTCTACTGTCTGTATGTGGAAAAATGAACCTAGACCTAGCAAGTGGTCTTTAGAATTCTTCTATATTCTTACACAAAAACCTATCAGGACTTGAGCACCTCCCGGAATGTGGCGCCTGATGTAGGACAGCACAGCAGAGCCCGCTCCCCTCAGGGCTGGCCCACCCTGCCCACCGCCACCTGCTGCAGGTGAGCCCAGAAGCCGCCTGCCTCGGGAGCGCGCTGCGCCTCACTGAAGCTTAGGCGGACAAGGTGTTCCATTGGGGCAACTGCTACAGAACTCACCTGTGGAAGAGAAACCTCATTTATAACAAGGGTAGGCATCTTGCCAGTGGAAAGCCACATTTTCTTGGTTTCAATTCTTGGGCTCATCCCTGAAGGACTTTCTTTGCCTGTGTCCTGAACCCCACGGAAGGGGGGCCGATGACAAGGAGGAGCTCACAGGTTTGAGGGGCACTGGGTGCCGCGTGCTGGGCCAATCACGGATCTGCAAACATCCTCACCTTCGGGTGACATAACCTACGTGTGGACCCACACCCCCTGGAAACAAAGGTATGTGTCCCCTTATCAGGGGAGCCCTCTGGTCCCCACATGAGCGGTGACCTAACTGTCATCAGCCTCCGAGTTTTTCAAGAAGGCCCCTCGTCTTCCTCGAATCCCCACATTACTGTGGAAGACAGGCCTGTCCCGTCCCGGGCATACGTGTGACGCAGGTCACGTGAGCGTGGTGTGGGGAGACGGTAAGAGCTTTGCTATTTCTGCGGAGGCAACACCTGCTCACTGCACAATACCTAGTGTGGGCTGGCAGCTCTGGAGCACCTGACATCTCACCTTTCAGGGGCAACAGGTGTCACTTGGTATGCACATCTACTCATGTGTGACATGTGGAGGTACTCACACGGCATTTCCAAAACACATCTGAGAATGCAGCGTTAGTGTGCGTTCACCCAGAAGCTGGCCTTGAGGCAAAGACTTCTGGAAACCAAGAAATGCATCTGGGAGATGCAACTGATGGGGCTG